GTCCATCTCAAGCTCAACATACGTCGGTGGCAATGTCCATTCTTCAAGACCATGGTTGGCTCCTGACGTGGGAAAGAGCTCCCTCGTTCCTGCACAAACTATCGTTTTCCTGGGTACGGTAGTGAATACCGTGTCTGCACATGTGTTCCTGTCTCCAGAAAGGGTCACAAAGATCAGAGACAAAGTAGGGAAGCTGCAAGTTCTCGAAACTGCACCTGCAAGAGCAGTCATGAGTCTCCTGGGTTCCTTGACTTCAACAATAGGCTTGGTGAAGTGGGCCCAGTGGAAGTTCCGTCCGGCCCAGAACTGCTTCCTTCTCCAGTTCAACAGAGTGGAAGCGGATTGGGAACAGATGATATCTCTTCCCCTTCCCGTAAGGAAAAGCTTAAACTGGTGGAAGAGCGAGAGGAATTTGACAACAGGCTTCCCGTTGGAAGACCCCCCTTGGAAGGTTATTACAACAGATGCCAGTTCTTTTGGATGGGGTGCCCACTTCAGTCCTGTATGGACTCAAGGGAACTGGACCCGAGAAGAGAGTCGCCTACACTCAAACTTAAGAGAACTGAGAGCGGTTTACAAGGCCATTTTGAGATTCCTGCCGAGGCTACGGAATTCTTGGGTTCTAATCAAAACAGACAACCGAGCGGTGGCCTCATATGTGAACAACCAAGGTGGCACGAGGAGCAGGTTGCTCCTGGAAGAGCTGGCTCCCTTAATGGCTATAGCCATGACCTATCTTCAAGGCCTGAAGGCGATTTATCTCCCAGGTTCGGAGAACGTAACAGCAGACTTCCTCAGCAGAAAGGAAATTCTTCCGGGAGAATGGCAACTTCACCCGGCGATCTTTGCAGAAATTGCTCATCGGTGGGGCATGCCCCAGATCGACCTGATGGCATCATCTCAGAATCACCAGGTGGAGAATTACCTCTCTCTTCATCCGGACTGTCAGGCACTGGGCCAGGATGCTCTCTCTCTGCCTTGGTCGTTCGATCTGGGGTATGTTTTCCCTCCCCTACCCATGATACCCAGGTTCCTGCGGAAGGTTTGGTTGGA